ACAAAATGGCCGTGACATTTGCTTCACGATCTTAAAATAGAATCAAATAATGAGGAAATTTAACAAGGTTTTTTTTAACCTGATCGAAATCACAAGGTCTAATTCCACGCCAATAGAATGGACGCTGAACCAGCTGCTCACAAAGTTCTCCATTCATCATTTTCAATAAGGTTTTTAACTTTAATGATGTGTTGTGGGTGTTCCCAGTATAAACAGTTCACTAGGTTTATACTCTCTGATATGACAGTACCCCAATGACTCGTTAATTGACGATTTTATATAGTATACTGCGGGAAGCAGGGACGAAAGATAATCATATATATTATACATACTTACACGAAGGAATAAAATAAAGCACAAAACTCTGACATAGAGATAACCTGTAGCAACGTACCAGCAATACTTCCAACACATGCGCTTAAGATTTGACATTGAATTTTAATATCGATGTTCATTTTTCAGGGCTGGGTAGTAAACAATTCCATACACTTATCATTGAAAAAAAAATAACATCATGGTAAGAGTTTTTCCTCCATCATAAAAGGCGCCCAAATGGAGGTATTTTAATCTCATGTAGACAATACTCGCAAAAAGATGATCAACTTTGCTCTTTTAGGTGTTTCAATAATGAGGACAAGATGGTGGTCGATAGTACACGTACTGACGCCCAGTTTTTCTGGATTTTACTCCGAACAATTTTCCTGTAATATCCGTTTGATATAAATATTTTACTACATAAGTTGCAAACTGATCGTGTATGATAAGCCGTTGTTTGTCTCAGCAATCCCCACTGATGAGTTTGAGCTACGTGATGTAGAATGTCGACTGAAAACTATCAGAACCTATACACTTAGCTTTGTTACCTCACCGCCTGAAGTGTATGTAGGATACCAACATATTTCGATGTACACAACGAAGTATCTATTTCAACTAAACAATATCTGTCGGAATAGTAGCGATATTCTTGTTACTAGTGTCACTTGAAACGACACTTGTCGGGTTTAGCTCATGTGTTGATGTATTTGTCTGTCTGAAGTAGAACTTCAGCATCACTTCTAGTTAGAGAAAGGTCGTACGTTTTACACAATATAACAAATTGGTGCGAACGAAAGGAATAATTCGATATCAATACCCACTTCTTTCAGATTGACATTGCACTGAAATTACACTAGGTTAATTTATCTCCCTTTTCTAGCTCTCTAACGTATACATGTGTTGCCCAATGAACACCTGTGTTTTGTCTCTACATTAACAAAAGTCGTTTATGAAGACATTTACACATACATCTTAGTTTTTATCTCTGTGACATTGACATAAACCGTTGTATACAGTGGTTTGTGTCATGTTGGCCGACATTGTGATTAGCATCTCTCCAAGTTCAAGGTCAATGTGACGATTAATGGACTCAGTCGATCGACTAATTTTTTTAATCACATTTTTATTTACCTTCGATATAAACTTCACCTTGTAGAACCGTATTCAAATATACGCCTTTATATACAGTATATATGTATATTATTTCACGTTTGAAATGTAATTACTACAGGTGGTGACATTGAACACAATGGAAGGAACACTTGGTGTAAGGGAAATCTTGCGATAAATACATTAATGCAGTTTCCTAGTGTAAAATCTATCCATAAGATAATGATAGAGTAAAACCTATCCTTTGTCATATTTGTTTTTATCACATAACCCGTTTGGTTTCCAAGGAATTCGCCCATGTGATACTTTGGTGTCTACGTCACTGGCATAGTATACCCTGGAGTGTTTTTCATTGGCTGCGACAGTCAGAAATCGATTGTGATTTCATAATATTGACAATTACGTTATTTCATGAATTGAAAATGACACAACAAAATGGCTGCCTTAGTTTGATTTTGTTTTCATCATTCTAATTTTTAAAAAAAATGTGAACATTTAACTGTTCTGAAATGAAAACTCATTTCAAATCACACACATTCATTTTTCACGTGATTGCCTAGTTATTCAGTGACTTTTTCCAACCACTTTAGATTTTCCTCAGTCGGCGCTTAGGCTTCAATATACCAGCCCATAGCATCATTTACGAGTTATTAATGGACGAAACAGCTGTGTGAAGTCAAATTAAGATAATGAAATGACGTCATACACGTGTAGTAAGGTTGTTTTCTGTTTCTAAATTCACAACTGTATGCAATAACCCTTTCCTTAGGATTAAAACGCTGCTCTATCACAGACCTCAGGGTAAAATAATCAGATAACTGGCCTGCAGTAAAATTACTCAGCAGTTTTTGATCAGTACACCGTAAACTCATGCTCAATTGAGCTCGTTCCAACTCGGACACCCATTCCATGATGCAACATGCTCGAAATGCACTATGTATTCCTGCCATTTACTTGACTACCATAAAATATGCCAAACTGTTTTTCTTTCCTAGGGGATATCCTAGAACTTTTTGGGAAATACGCTGTAGGGCAGAAACCAAATCCTGAACTAGGTAAATGGCGGCTACCATAAAATTGTGACACAGACGCTTGATAAATACTCTCCCTGGACAAGTCCGGAACTGGGTTAGACCTCTGGGACGGGATAGCGGGTAACCTCCTTCGTGTACCACACAAGTGGCTAACTTGAGTCCTTAATGGTGCATGGTTATCTTACATGTCTGTCTGACTATATGGACGATATAAGAATAGTACTAGGAACAAAGCAACACACCGCTGTCGGGACGGACTTGTGTAGGACTAGAAGATAAACAGAGCTGTCATCCCGCTGTCGGGACGGATTAGTGTTAGCGAGGAAACAGAGGTGTTATCCCGCTGACGGGACAGAATAGAATTTTAAGTAGAAAAGAGCATCTCGCTGACGAGACGGAGGGAGGCTAACATCAGCTGAAAACTGTCTGCTGCCGACTAGAAGTACAAAGAGCGAACAGCCGATCATTACTGGCTTCATAGACCCAAAATAATTTCTAACCAGGTCATACTAACAAAATCCTACAAAGCGAACGATTGGTTCCACCCGGAATAGGCAACCAATCAAAAGTCGGTTAACATAAATAAACCGCTTCCGCAAACATGGCGACGAAATAGGCAAACAAACAGGGTACAGGGTTCTCTGTAACAAAATACCCGAGTTTCTACAATATACGAACGAATAATCGATCGTCGATCACGTGATAAAAGGGAAAGAAATTAGTTCCATTTGATAAGAAAATCTTAAATTAAAAAAAATCGACTCGTTTCATAAAACATATAACAAATGGAAATATGATTAAGATCCAATGTTTATTTGTAATTGTGGATAAGATAACATTTTCCCACTGAAACATGTGGTGATTTAATAATTATTTGGTTTTGGCGGGGTTTAACGTCAATGTATCAGCATAGTCATATAAAGACGGATGCTAAAGGGCACCTATCAACCTTTCAACGGAAAGACACGGTGCGGATGCAAATATCATTCTGGAGAGAAAGGAACACATACACACATGTAAGCGTATATAGGTTTTATTCGTCACGTGATATTAATGCTTGTTTAAGCAATATAAAAAAGTCATTATTGTCATAAAATTTACAGTAAACTGTATCTAGCGTAAAGATTGTTCGTGTCCAAGTATACAAGATTCTATTTCTCCTCTGATTTGTTTAACGTTGTCATCTAGTCCCAAGAACACCGATGAGAATTTTTCGAAAAATCCTTTGTCATAAATTAATTAGTTATATCATTAGATGTATACATTAATATATAGGCGATGCCTGAATAACTTTATGATAAATTTTGAGATGTCCCTGATATGTAGCACAGCACGAGAGCAAATCTGTGATCAGATCCAAGGCCGTGTTCGGCGTGGTTCCATAGGTAAACCTTGATCTAGATAGGGATGATCTGGAACACAATTATAATCAATGTCCGCTTTAGTTCGAAATCATTTACATGTCGATGACGTGAAACACTTTAAACATAAAACCGTGTTGATAAATCATGTTAAGTTGATGGCGGACTTACTGGTTTTTGTCATGTCAGATACATGTTATTTCAGTGAAATTATTGTAGTTTTTTTTTTATTTCTGACAACAATTACCATTCATTTGTATATTCACACTTAGTCACGCGTGATGACGTCGACATTGACATTTGCTCGTGATTTTCGTTGACGAACCACCAACTGGTATTGACAAACTGATGATTGCTGACTTGTACTTAATTTCCAATCTCTTGGGAATCAACATGTGTGACTTGGTCTCTGGGTTCACTGTTTCTATCATTAGCGATTGACCTATATAGCAGTCAACACTCAACTTCATTTATAAACAACACCAGGAAATGTGAAAAAACCGCAAAATTTGAAATACACATACGTAAGTCCAGTTTCAATTATTAAAGAATTGAAATACATGCACTTAAGTCCAGCTTCAACTGTTAAAAAACATGAAAAAAAAATCACAAAAATTGAAATACATGCACTTTAGTTTATATTGTAAAAAAAGATAACAAAAAAAAAAAACTCGCAAAAATTGAAAGACATACACTTTAGTCCAGATTTAATTGTATAAAAAATCCCGCAAAAATTGATATACTTACACGTAAGTCCAGCTTCTTCAATTAGTTATTTACTATGTATACTATACTTATTATACTGTATAGAAATCATTGAAATAATTCTCAAAGCTTACAACGTTCCAAACCGAATTCTGTGCATATAGATGTGACAGGCATGCCTATACAGAATAAACTTAAATTATATATGAGATGTTAAAATGCTTCAGTTTTGAATTACGCACATTTCATGGGTTCCAAGCACGCGTTTACCTTAAATTGGAAGTTGGTAGAGCGAACAAAATTTGGAAGGTTGACAATTATAACGAAACCGACTTCGGAAATGGCTAATTCAAAACGCAGCTATGGAACAAACAAGACTGTCTCATTTAACAAATGCCTTTATGAACATTCATTCAACATATACAGCTATATGTGTGACGAAGTACGAATTTTAATGTTATTTTTTCTTTCCCAGACTACTTCCGTCGCCGTGTCAGTCCTTACACTCAGCGCTATATCTGTGGAGAGGTACTTCGCCATTTGTCAACCTCTGAAGGTGCGACTTACCACTCGGACCATTGTCAAGGTCATTGTTGTAATATGGATAGCAGGAATGGCGGCGTCTATACCGGAAGTACTTTACAATAGACTGTGGGAAATGTTTCCGGGTCAAGTGACCAAGTATCTTGTGCACTGTAGCAAGGATTGGCCTGTAGTTTATGACAACAATTATCAGCTTTTTATTCTGGTCGCTCTTTACTCTATCCCTATATGTCTTATGGCCTTCACGTATTCCGTGATTTCCCGCCAGTTATGGAGAAATGATATTCCTGGAACAGCCGAAACAAGTAAGCAGCATTTATATTCTTCCGCCCACTTCTCCTTTTCTGTTAATGGCAACCCCTGAAACCCAACTATCCAATTTCTTCACATTCTGTGGATGTTGTTTTCATCCCGACGGACTGAAATTATCAGAAATATCGTTAGGAGCTTGAAAGGTTAATTAGGTCTCGATTGACGTCGAGACATGGAAAAACAAATTATGTTTTAGTTAACGTCTGGCTAACCTTTGTATCTAGGTATTCTTTAAACATGTAGCTCTTTCATTATCATCTAAAGAGCCAAACTTTTCTAATCGAAGTGTGCTTTTTTCTGTTGTTTATCGGGTATCTTAAAGCACTTTATCATCAGACTTCTACCGCAGGAATGCATTTTATCTTATTTTAGATTAAAATGGCCCAAAGGGCCCGCATGTTCAGTGAACTGGCCATATGTCGATAGATGAGTCATTGACATGCAAATTCTTATTTTGTTACCTTTATGGAACATTGTTCATTGCTCTTTTCTTATCAAATTTGTATTGGTATACTGATAATTTCAGGAGAAAAATTATGAATGAACATTTTCAAAACTACGCTATCGCCAAAAAATGAAATCTTGGTGTGGTATAAGTTTCCCCACGATTTTGACTTAAGCAGTAAGGATATAAACGTTACTCGCGTTGCGTTGGGAACTTTTGGAACTTCCTGTCGAGGGGATACAGTCTAGTCTGAGTCTAGAATATATATATATCTCTCTCATACATCATAAATGTTGTTCTGAAATGCCGGATCTCCTGTAAAAGCCAGTGGCTATGATCGGAAACTGTGTAGATTATGGATATTATGCTGTTTACAACGTGAAATGTTAAAACTATTGAGAGAACGACTGAAATAGTCAATACATTCACTTAAGGTAGATGTCTTTACCGATTACATGATTGATTGACGCGGCGAAAATATTGATTGTTTTAAAAGATGACACAAATCTTTCTTATACCACATTTAATTATCATACGCATTCTCAAAAATCGATTTTCGTTCCCACAAAAGCTTAATATTATCTGATAAGGAAAAAAGTTAACAAATCAGCTGCAGAATGTTACGTATTTTGGAATTAAGTTGCATCCGGTAAATGCAAATACATAGAAAGAAATTTCCGGTGAATTCTAAATATAAACATATTTACGTGTTCAATCGGTGTTTGACAATTAGGAAACCGGGAAATATCAGCGAAGCGTGACTTGAGATTAAAAAGAAAATATTTTCTTGCCAATATTACATGTATTACATGTTTTCATGCAATGTGTTTCAAAAACATCGTTTCAATTCATTGTTTTTTCTACCTACACGTTCCCCATTTGTTTTCTATCTTTTAAATTATACATACACACTTCCATAAACGTATCAACCAACACATAAAGGGGGGAAGAAAAAGGAAATAAAAAAAAAGTAAAAAAAAAGAAGAGAAAACGAAATTGAACAGTTTTTTTCAGAACAACTAGACTTTACCTGTAAGCGTTGGGTGCTGTTATTTGACATATTCTACTACTTTGTATTAGATCTGGAACACACACAAATATGAAACTAATTATCCAAGGGACGTTACATCAGCACATGACGATACCTATGTTACATATCAATATCTTGGGTTTGAGTGAAATTAAAACGAAAAGATATACATATCTTCAAGTCATTATTGTCATATATCCCACGACCCGCCTATTACGGTTTATATTCGTCCAAAAATTTCATTTCAAGAGAAATTAACATAATGGCATTGACTTTTTTCATGAAACATATTAAGCAGAATTACATTGAATGACGTGTAACAGGAGATTAAAACCAATATTTCATTAAAAGTTTTTCAGTTTTAGCTAGGACCGGCGATGACGATGTTGTCTGATTTATCTGCTACAAACAACAAAACAATAGATACAAGAAACCATTTAGCGTCGCAGAGATATCAACAGCGAACGTTAGCTCATGCGTGGTATTGTTGGACAAACAAAGGAACGGAAACAATTCCAAACAGAATATAATAATAGATGTGATAAATACGGAAGCCGACTAGTGTCACATGAAATAGTTTTTATACTCGTAATGCAACTTAATTACATAACTTCCTGACTTCCGTATGATACAAATCATATTAGAGACAAGAGTTTGTACAATAAAGTGCTAAGATAAAATACAATTGATACAACGTAATAGGTATTTACATAAATACAGTCAAATCTCGTTATCTCGAAGTAGGCGAAACCATTGGAAAACTTCGATTTATATGGTTATGCGATTCGTAAGTAAGTAATATTTAGTGTAAACTATGACTCTTACAAGATTCCAAACGCTTTTCATGTAAACTGACCCTTTTGATAAAACCAAAATGAGTTGTGTCACGTAAATACCATACTAGGAGAAAGTATTGAAACTGGAATCGGTGAAAGAATTATAAACAAATTCGACCACACATTTGTTGGAAGGTTTCCCTACCAACAAATGAAATACGAGCCTCATAGTTTTCAAGAAAGTCAAAATTTACACAGAATTACACCATCAGGGATAGTTTCTATAACCTCTACAATACATTTTTCTTTTACAAAAAGGCCAGAAACGTACCTGGATTAGACTGCATGGCTCTATTTGAATATATCTGTTGATTTACTACAGTGTTTTATAATATTATTTTTCAAAACAACATGGTCTTTGTTAGAATCTCAACCTCTGGTGTAATCTACATAGTTATACGTTTAAGATGTAGTTACATAACATAGAGATACAATACAGATCCCTGGTAAACTGCCTTTAGCACTTCAAGCCAGTCCCCGCATTTGAAGCCAACAAGTAGATTGAGACCAAGCTAGAACGAATTGTTCTGTATTGTTGAAGCCGGTCATGTCTACTATGATACCGTGTAAACCAGAAATATAGATCCTGAAGTCTGTCAGTGCAGTTTTAGAGAAAAACAAAACAAGGGTCTTATTGAACACAAATTTTAATTAAGCAATGGTTTATCTTATCTACCACGTTCTGTTCGACAAATTACCCTAAAACTGGAGAGATTGATTTAACAGGATATCATTAGGAAGCAGACTCCTCTTGTCCTGTTCAACAGAGCCAACGTAGACAGTGGACATGTTTCATCAGTAATTGGTTCATATTACTGAAACTCGTTTTCGTTAATCAATACATGACAATAGGTTTGTAATATCATATATTCGTAAGCATCAAATGTAAAAAAAAAAAAAAAAAAAAATTAAAAAAATTAATATTCCAGGAAGTGACATTTGTATAACAGAATCTTCAAAGTCGCTATTGAATTCGAAAACTATGTTTTATATTAGAATTGTTTTAGTGTATTTTGATAGATAAAACGTTTGTTTTGGAAATCCATATGTGATATATGATTCATTTTGTAGATGACAAGTTTTGTTAAGTAAGAGGATGAATACTATAAAAGAAGAATTACTAGAATTACATATTAAGTTTACAGAGCATGATTGTTTCACATGTAATCGAATGTTTGGTTATTGACTATGGATTTTTAGTTCTGTTGTAAATGTCTTGTAGATTTGATATCTAAGTTACATATCAAACGATACAAATTGTCCTTATTTGAAGGACATACGAGCATTTACTCCCCTTCCATTTATTGTGTATCCATCGAAAATCTCGCAAGGAAAGTGGTTTGACCTGTTAACAGAATCTTAATTTAAACTCCAATTTAATGACACTAAGTCAAATAATGAGACAAATGAAATATTTACAAGGAAATATAGAAAGATAAAAAAAAAAGAGGAGAATAAGACAGGTGTCCGGAAGTTATGCGCCTTCTGCTTCATAGACGACAATCGCCTATAATTATTGACCGATTCAAGTTAGTGATATTACGTTCTCAAATTACAACATTGTTAACAACAATTAAACTAACAAGCTCAATAAAAGCATATAACACCTTTTATTCTAGATCGGACAAGAAACTGATTTATCTAATAACTGTTTATGTTTCGTCCAAACAGATATAGTATTGAATTATTACGCACCAAAAGTCCATGTATCTTGCTGCGCATACATGGTCATACTGTCATACAGGTTTTGTATCCGTTTGTCGAGTAGCCAAGCGGTCGCCGCCTGAGGTCATTGATGTCCACTTATTCTAAATGAAACCTTGTATAATTACAGACAGTCTACAGGTCATGTCTAATTAGCGTATAAGTTACGGGATGTGATTTTCTAAAATTGACTACAATTCATCCTGAAGGATGTCTCGGCAGAAATTCAGATGGACATACAATGTTTCCAAGACGAAATACGATCATTGATTTTTTTCGCCAATCTGTGATCTATTTTATAAAGAGTGTACTTCTTGCTTCAGTACAATTAATTATACAGTTGCATATTAGATCCAAATATCAATTTCAACGACAACGTTGATTTTGTCAATCATAATTCTCAGCATTCAAAATCTGTGTGCATTACACTATGTCATCAAGTATCAAATAGCGAACGTAGATGAGAGCCGAAGGCATGTAAGATTAATAAGTCTCCTGGCTATAAATCGATCGGTGATCAAAATAAAACGTTTATGATATGAATGGTTTGAAACAATGATTCCAAGAAGAAATTTGTTTACAGAGATAAAAGTAATTTAAATTTGCAGTAACCAAGGAATTGCTGACACAAATCAATATGGTATTACATTCATTAGTGGAATCCATTTTGGGATCAAATTTAAGGATTTTTAAAAAAGAAATGAGAACGATAGAATAAACATAGATGCCCTGGCGTATCGTGCAATGAAAGTTGCGGAAAAGACAGAAATTATGTTCATATCATAAGTTTTATCATAACAGCAAATTACGCAATCAGGCTCTTGGCGAGTAAGTCTATTAAATGTTACAAGGCCTTTGATATTATTTGTTTTACATCTAAGGATATTGAACGCTGGACAGAATCTCCTGCTATAATACCGAACATGCAATGTTCAAATTGATCTGTCTTTCATTGGGGTTTACTCCATCACTGAACTCAAATAATATTAAAGTAACGACCCGATTTCGTGTAAAGATTATACCAAAGACACACAAAAATGATTAGCAGCATTTAGACAAATTTGGGTAAGATACGGTAGAGCCAAACAATGAAGCAAACTGCTTGTCTTCATCCTTCTAGGACTCTTCAGTGAAGCTAAGGGCCTTAGTTTTGATGCCTAGGAGGTAACGGAGGCAAATCCAAAATGATCGAAAAGAGATGGGAAGGTGCACTAGCTCCATAAATCAGTAAATTTCGTAATGTTCATATATGTGAAAATGTTACATGAACGTCAAGTACATGTGTTTATTCGGAATCAAACCACGGGGACTGAGAGTCCACCAGTATTTAGTACAACCTGTTATCAGGAGGCCGTATCATGTAAAGGTATCCAACTCATTAAAGAACTCACACTCATAGATTACATCTTTTGGCAATCATGATCAAATTGAGCTGTATTCAGATTAAAATGAAATGTATTAAAGATAGATTTGCTGTTATGACGAATCAGGATGATAGTTATAAAATAACAAAAATAAAAAAATGTCATAAAATCCCAAAAATAGGACGGTCTTAAAAATAACTATGTCTATAAGCCACGAGATTCTTGGAAAACGAATATTGAAAATAAGACAACCTAGAAAATAGACCTATTACGTCGATAAGCCATGAGATCCCTGGACAGAAAACTATCTGGAAAACTAGACGGTGTGAAATGTAAGCCGATCTGGACAATAGGCCATGAAGCCATTATAAAAAAGATAAATTACATAGGCCTATTTACAAGACTTTATTAAGGTTATTTGTTTTTAAGCTATTGTTATGCACACCTGATCAACTTATTTATGTACAACGCCTATATCAAATGTGCAATCATTTTTCAACGTATTCACTGTTCGAGAACATATAAACAGAATCTTGATCCAAACTTGAAATTTACTGAAATTAGAGCAACATATGAACAAAAGAAAGCTCTTGACGGAGAATACTGAAAAGACCTTTGTTAGGTATGATATAGTATTCTTACTGATATATGCTGTACTGAACAATATCACCGATATCCATTGTTACAAACTATGACTACTATCAGCATTTTTTTTATTTGTACTTCACTATACATATATGAACCTACAAGCCAAATGCATGCCATTGTCCAGCAGCCTACAGTGAGGTTTGACTGTCGTAGTAACATACAATCAGTTACCACAATCACTGGTATATATCTGTCTTCATAGTGTTCCTGTAATTGTTTTATACAATTGTGATGAGATATACTGTATGACATATTATTACCCGAATATCCTCGTATTCAAGCGGTGAAACAAACCATGTACTCCAGTTTATTTATGGAACTATTTTGTTGTGTTCTCAGTTGAAAAAGAATCACTTTCTGCTTTTCTTTGAGAAAATGAGAAATTATTTCCTCAGTGTTAAAAGTGTTTTGATTGGCTGTCTTTATCAAAGATGTAAGCAATGCTGCAACGATGACTGTAAAGATGTTTATGAAACGATCTGAAAACCAGTCTACATATAAAATGTTCGAAAATAAAATAGGCGATACAACAAATCTTTTCAGATATATTAAGAACTGAATTTCTCGCACACTGTAATTTTCAAATGGATACAAAGACTCAGACACCACCGAATCGCCAATATCCTTTCACCAGAGCTCAGATATGCAGTCATCTTATTAAATTTGAAGGCGATTTACGTCTGTACGACTTAACACTATATCAATGGTCTAGACACCCCTGTCATGGATTGTTCGATGTATGAGGACAGCTCTTATCACATTTGGTAAACATAAAGAGTGACAGGAAACCTACTCCTCGGATACGTTTTATGCGTATTCATATGACCAGTATCAGTAAAACGGCTGAAAAAAATACAAATATAATCCCAAATTTTTGTTGAAAAATCAGTGAACGCTTTAAATTGTGCATTAGTCTATATATCTGTCGACTTGATTTAAGAAAATAAATATCATCTTAAAACTGTAGAAATTTCTGATTTTGTTTTATGTTCTGTTATGTGCAGAATATCATGATATATTGGACAACCAGAATTTCGAGTACGAACCATCGTTTGTATTAGTAGTATCCGATAGAGTGTTAAAATAAAGAAGGTATGAGATAAATATACATCAGACAAAACTGTTTCAAGGGAAAAATTCCTGACCAATCAGACTGATATGCTTATTCGAAGATACCAAATGACCGACACCTAACTTCAAAGCTGGTACAACATATTGTTTTACATCAAATTATTATCAAACAAGTTGTCTTCTCGTCTTAACCACAAGGAGTCGCACATGGAACCTCCTGGACTATCGAGAATGTGTTGAGTAATGCAGTTTGAATACGATTTTCTATGATCGTCATATCCTTAACCAAACGTCATTGGTTTACGTCTGTGGTATTGCTAAGCACGTCTTTCACTTTCAGTTTTCATCGAAGTTTTTCCATTAGATGTATGCATCATAATATAAATTAAATATTGATAGAAAAACATGTTGATAAAAATCCTAACAGAAATGACAGTTCCGGGTTTCTATATGCGCAGATCACGTGTGTTCCCGTTCCGGTTCAGCAATGTCCGGTCCAGAGAGCCAGCTTCACTCACGTCGTCGAGCTGCTAAGATGTTAATGACAATAGTGGTGATTTTTGCCGTGTGCTATCTACCTGTCCACATCCTTAACCTTATAAGGTAATGTATTACTGCGTAGTATATTGGCACGCGTGATGAAAAAACCCACCTGTTTTGAAATAGCATTTTGCAAAGGGACAGCTGTCTTTTGCTCGCAATTATATCGTGAAATTACTATACATGGTTGCTTGCAAATGTAGCTTATTCTTAATAATACATGTTGTCAAGCGTATTCTGCAAATATTGGATGCAGTTAATATTAAAATATAATTTACTGAAAGTTGAACTGTTTGTGGAGTAATGCACAAGTGCCCTTTAGTTATGTTTCGTATGTCTTAAAATTGTAAGATATAAAATAAAGACACATTCGGTATTCTTTTGTATCATGTTATGTATAATTTGTATAAGGAAATACAACGTATCACATGCATAATGTATCCTGAAGCGTTTTTCATCGGCTGCGCAAGTTAGAAATTGATTGTGATGTCATAATACGGACAATGACGTCACGTCATTAATTGAAAATAGCGCAAGGCAATGGACTCCCTTGTTCGATGTTTTCCACAACTTTTTATATCGAAAACATGTCAAATTTATCTTTTTTCTGAATTTTGTGACAAGTTATCTTAAATTTGTTTTTATTTCATATGAAATTCTGCTAAACTTATTTTGAATTTTTTTTTCTCGACAAGACTCGCAAAAATGAAAACTTAGTAACATAACGTTTCATGAGATGTACAGTTGCCAAATTGATATATTTCGATAAATTGTGTGATATATGTGTAGCATTGGTAAGCATTATATTCTGGTTTGTTGTAGGTTCACGGATTCATTCCAGGACGTAGATGACACCATCATCATCAACATCGCTCTCCTCTCTCACATCCTCTGTTATGTCAACAGTGCGATAAACCCAGTCATCTACAACTTCATGTCTGGTAAGTTAAGTATCTACAACGTTATGTCTGGTAAGTTAAGTATCTACAACTTTATGTCTGGTAAGTTAAGTATCTATAACTTTATGTCTGGTAAGTTAAGTATCTATAACTTCATGTCTGGTAAGTTAAGTATCTATAACTTTATGTCTGGTAAGTTAAGTATCTACAACTTCATGTCTGGTAAGTTAAGTATCTACAACTTTATGTCTGGTAATGTCTGGTAAGTTAAGAATCTACAACTTTATGTCTGGTAAGTTAAGTATCTACAACATCATGTCTGGTAAGTTAAGTATCTACAACTTCATGTCTGGTAAGTTAAGTATCTACAACATCATGTCTGGTAAGTTAAGTATCTACAACTTCATGTCTGGTAAGTTAAGTATCTACAACTTCATGTCTGGTAAGTTAAGTATCTACAACTTCATGTCTGGTAAGTTAAGAATCTACAACTTTATGTCTGGTAAGTTAAGAATCTACAACTTTATGTCTGGTAAGTTAAGAATCTACAACTTTATGTCTGGTAAGTTAAGAATCTACAACTTTATGTCTGGTAAGTTAAGTATCTACAACTTTATGTCTGGTAAGTTAAAAGTGACTATATCGGAGATTCTAACATAAAGAAGCTGGAGTATTTTTAATTGTCAAATTTGTCACATATACATTATAGGAAGTTGATTTTTTGTCTAAAAGAAGCCTCTTTTTTTCTTGTTTTCGTCGACAAAGAATGCGTTTATGCATCAACTCAATGCCCGCTTAAAATGAAAAGAAGTTCTCTGTGGTTACAATGTTTCAGCCAGGGGTCAGTGATGATTACTGGAATTGTTAGAATACTGTAATCCAGGCACGATCATACCATGACTTGAAGACTAGGAAATCTCCGATTTCAGTTGTTAACGAGAGTAATCAATACAACAATAAATACCTACTCTCTTCTCGTGAAAACAAAGTAAAACCTGCTGGATGTCTTTGCACGCAAAACCACATCTCGCTCATTCTGGCGTTTGCTTCCCACATAAATCAAATCAGAAGCTGTTTGCTTTTAAACCCTCGGGTGTTAACTTATGCTGTTATCACAGAATCAAGCATTTGCTGGACCCGGAGTATAGAGGAAACCAATTTCTTCCTGCACCAGCTTGCATACTAACCAGACATCCATCTGCTACCATTTCCTGTTACAAGATAATGTATAGACAGACAGGGTTGAAAATATTTCAATCACTTGACACCTGCATGCTGCTAGCAACGCGACATAACCGATGCCTATAGCGCAACTACAAAATAATATTTTAAACTCTAAAAAATGAATAAATAGATATATAAATAGATAAATAAGAAAATAATGAATGACATCAATAAGAGAAATAAATCTTTGGAAGACATGGTAAGATGAAAGTCGTATGTCAGATATAAAAAAATCTCATGATTTGATATATTCTTTCCGGAGGAAATTGGAATATGTTCACCGCAATCCCAAATATAGTTTCTCGCCAAACCAGACCTACTTTTATTCATGAATAACTAGCCAAAATCCATTATAGGCCTAACAGCATTTAATGTTTTTTCTCCTAGTGGCAGTGTGTCCTATCCCGTGATTTGTTAACAGTATTGTATGATGTTTACTCCTGGTGTCAGTTTGTCCTATCCCGTGATTTGTTAACAGTATTGTATGATGTTTACTGCTGGTGTCAGTTTGTCCTATCCCGTGATTTGTTAACAGTATTATATGATGTTTACTGCTGGTGTCAGTTTGTCCTATCCCGTGATTTGTTAACAGTATTGTATGATGTTTACTCCTGGTGTCAGTTTGTCCTATCCCGTGATTTGTTAACAGTATTGTATGTTTACTGCTGGTGTCAGTATGTCCTATCCCGTGATTATTAACAGTATTGTATGATGTTTACTGCTGGTGTCAGTTTGTCCTATCCCGTGATTTGTTAACAGTATTGTATGATGTTTACTGCTGGTGTCAGTTTGTCCTATCCCGTGATTTGTTAACAGTATTGTATGATGTTTACTGCTGGTGTCAGTATGTCCTATCCCGTGATTTGTTAACAGTATTGTATGATGTTTACTGCTGGTGTCAGTATGTCCTATCCCGTGATTTGTTAACAGTATTGTATGATGTTTACTGCTGGTGTCAGTTTGTCCTATCCCTTGATTTGTTAACAGTATTGTATGATGTTTACTGCTGGTGTCAGTTTGTCCTATCCCTTGATTTGTTAACAGTATTGTATGATGTTTACTGCTGGTGTCAGTATGTCCTGATTTGTTGATTTGTTAACAGTATTGTATGATGTTTACTGCTGGTGCCAGTTTGTCCTATCCCTTGATTTGTTAACAGTATTGTATGATGTTTACTGCTGGTGTCAGTTTGTCCTATCCCTTGATTTGTTAACAGTATTGTATGATGTTTACTGCTGGTGTCAGTTTGTCCTATCCCTTGATTTGTTAACAGTATTGTATGATGTTTACTGCTGGTGCCAGTTTGTCCTATCCCGTGATTTGTTAACAGTATTGTATGATGTTTACTCCTGGTGTCAGTTTGTCCTATCCCTTGATTTGTTAACAGTATTGTATGATGTTTACTGCTGGTGTCAGTTTGTCCTATCCCGTGATTTGTTAACAGTATTGTATGATGTTTACTGCTGGTGTCAGTTTGTCCTATCCCTTGATTTGTTAACAGTATTGTATGATGTTTACTGCTGGTGTCAGTTTGTCCTATCCCGTGATTTGTTAACAGTATTGTATGATGTTTACTCCTGGTGTCAGTATGTCCTATCCCTTGATTTGTTAACAGTATTGTATGATGTTTACTCCTGGTGTCAGTATGTCCTATCCCTTGATTTGTTAACAGTATTATATGATGTTTACTCCTGGTGTCAGTATGTCCTATCCCGTGATTATTAACAGTATTGTATGATGTTTACTCCTGGTGTCAGTTTGTCCTATCCCTTTATTTGTTAACAGTATTGTATGATGTTTTCTCCTGGTGTCAGTTTGTCCTATCCCGTGATTTGTTAACAGTATTATATGATGTTTACTCCTGGTGTCAGTATGTCCTATCCCGTGATTATTAACAGTATTGTATGATGTTTACTGCTGGTGGCAGTTTGTCATATCCCGTGATTTGTTAACAGTATTGTATGATGTTTACTGCTATTGTCAGTTTGTCCTATCCCGTGATTTGTTAACAGTATTGTATGATGTTTTCTCCTGGTGTCAGTATGTCCTATCCCGTGATTATTAACAGTATTGTATGATGTTTACTCCTGGTGTCAGTATGTCCTATCCCGTGATTATTAACAGTATTGTATGATGTTTACTCCTGGTGTCAGTGTGTCCTATCCCTTTATTTGTCAACAGTATTGTATGATGTTTACTCCTGGTGTCAGTATGTCCTATCCCGTGATTATTAACAGTATTGTATGATGTTTACTCCTGGTGGCAGTTTGTCATATCCCGTGATTTGTTTACAGTATTGTATGATGTTTACTGCTATTGTCAGTTTGTCCTATCCCGTGATTTGTTAACAGTATTGTATGATGTTTACTCCTGGTGTCAGTTTGTCCTATCCCGTGATTTGTTAAAAGTATTGTATGATGTTTACTGCTGGTGTCAGTTTGTCCTATCCCGTGATTATTAACAGTATTTTATATTTTGTCTCCTGGTTGGTTATGCAGGTCATGCATATGTTCGTTTTCACACCACCTTGAATATTCCTTTAGGCTTTATGAACTAATGTCCGATCTGTCTAGACATTGATACAGATTTATTTATCACATATTTCCTCATCACAGCATAACTATCCCATTACATTTGGACGGACATTTAAGTCACACTAAAATACCATCACTTAGTAATTAATTTCTGGATTGCTTGAACATCAACATATATCAAGTCTCAATATCTGAACATATCTCCCAGTTTATCATTAAACGTAAGATTTATTACTCACAATACCAGATATTCTACTGAACTTACATTTACAAATACACATACGTTAACTTGACATCACAAGTATCAGATTTTCTGATTACAAATTAGATGCTGATCACTCACGTGATTACGGATTATGTTTTAAAATACTTTTTTCGATGGTAGTAGTTTGCATATACAGAAATGAAAAATGTAAGACCACCTTTTGGAAATGGCAAGCAAAACATGCAACGTCTCTAGACCCGAATTTATAAGTATGGGATTTCCATTGCCTCCCAATGTAGAATATATTTTATCTTGGTATGTTCTTGTTGACGCTTCGTTGGTCCCCGGTTGCAATAATTCAATATCTTTAACATATAGGCAACTAAAACATACTGAACCTGTGAAATGAATCCTGAAAAATGTGGTAAGGCGTGTTTTCATTCATGTGTTGGACAGCTCGAAATTTCACAATGGTTATTGAGCTGTTTTTTTAATTCGTTAGCCATAAGATCTTAAAACAGGACAGGACATCCTCGACAAGGTCCCCTTTTATGGTATATTCTTTCTATAGCTTGATCTAATTGTGAAATTAGTATTGCCTCGTAGAGAATCTTTTCAAAAGATTTACATGGTCAAATCAACTTACCAATCAAAGCAGCTTAATACATGTCACCAGCAAATAGACAGGTAACTGAGATAATGGTAAGATACTTAATACAAATCACCGGCTTTGTGAGGTTAGTCGTCCAATTTCTAATCTCTTCCCGTAACCGATAAAGTAACTTTTTATTTAAGTAACCTTTAATTGAAAATAGTGTTAAAGGAATCGGAAAGCTCCTGTTAATGCAATCTATGGATAAAATTTTATATCGAACTTTTGTCCAGTTGCCCAGTGTATGAAGGAACAGCATGATAATCGACCTGCCTGAAACAAATTGGAATTGTCTTGGTGATTTATCAAATGTCCCTTTTAAGATCGTCTCCATTATCTTATTCATTATTGGTGCTAAGCTATCTGGACTATACTCCAAAGGTTCACCTCGATCTCCTTTCCGTAAGATGGCGCTAATCGTATCATT